TACGCTGGAGGCCCCCGGCAGCAGGATAACGATCTGTGGATGTCTACGTTTAATTATATTTTCACAACTAACAAATGTATATTTGTTAAATACAGGGATAAGTAATGATTGGCGGCTGCTGACGTTTTAAAGATGGTGAATTCTACTCCTCCCTTTACAGTACAGAGAAACTCATAGAATACAAAGAGCTGAGCATAATGCAGAGATACACATACAGATAGGCACTGTAGCAGAGCTCCCTGAACCCTGGCTTGGTACCTCCGCCAAGGATCGCTTCCTAGCTGGAACCAGTGAAAAGCTCAGCGCTTCTGTCTCAGTCGCTTTGGCTTGACTGGGGTCCTCCTAGAGCCTCTCAGTCCTGGAAAAGGGTGGGGAACTAACTCTATTCCTTTCCAGGGAGTGAACGACACACAGTCTTGGGAGCTATATTCTTTACAAGGACTTTCACTGCTAAATCCTCCACGAGCTGGAACAAGATGCTGAGCCATGGATAACCCTTTCCCCTCCCAGTAACTAGACGACACATAGTTCTGGGTGTACAACTGATTTTAATGAGCCAAACTTAGCCTTTTATGCACAGACTCCAGCAGGGGGTCTCCATACAATACAATAGTCCCTCCTAGGCATCTCTGTGCCTGGGAGATTATTGAGTTAAAGACAGGTAAGTTAATTATCTCCCAGCAACAGAGAGCCAAATATAAAAACATAAAAGTACCTCAAAACATAATAAAAACATATAATAACCCCACATGTCCAACAGCCCTGATCTGAGCGCCCAAGTTGTCCAAATAGCGCTCAGATCCATGAAGTGTAGGGGAAACGCCACCCGGGCAAAGTTCTGACTGGTCGTACACATGGTCCTATGCCCAAAATAGTTCCAGAGCAACGTGGGTTTTGCTGGTCAACTTTTGGGAGCTCTTGCATCCGAAATACTGGCTCTAAGGAAGTGTTTGTTCCTCTTAGTCTCAGGCACCTTCCCTCCAAAAAGCAATCTCCTGGCGGGTCGGCAAGTGGTTAAAAACACCCAAGTTGTCCAGGATCTGAAAATGGTTCCATAACAATTGCAGCTAAGCACCGCTGAGGGTGAGTTTGTTCATGCAAACAGGAGGGAGCTAGCGTTCGGTTCAATTTGTTAAAAGGGAAAGTGCCGAACCAGGGGCACAGAGGGAAATCTGCTAAGGGCGGCTGGACAGGGTAACTCCTCAGCGGGGTCTTAGACCCAGACCATAGTTGGTGGGCAGGAGGCCAGCTTCCACACTCCTCCAGGCGTTCATGGCAAATGATCGGGGAAAGGAGCGTATGTCACAGGCACAACATAACGATATCTTTAAAATACGGAGAGCTGAATACAGTACAGAGATAACCATACCACAAACAGAGCTGAGAAGCAATAAAGATATAATACACAGAGCTGGGCACAATACAAAAAATACCTATACATTACACAGAACTGGGTAGACTGCAGAGATACCTATATACAAGGTGATGGGTAGATGACAGAGAAACCCATACAACAGGCAAAACTGAGTAAAATACATAGAAATAACACACAGAACTGGGCACAATAATGAGATAACATAACTATCCCACACAACCAGGATCACTGTGACTGATTACGCAGAGCTGCAATACAGAGATACCCACACATTTTGTGTTTTTGTATAATGCTCCAGCTAGCTCTTTATCTTACTAGCCCTCTCTCAGCTCGCCCTCTCATGATCTCATCTTCATTAACTCGGGTGAACCTGCTCCCTTTCCGAACTGGTTTGACACTTTGGGGGCAGAGCTAGCTACTTGGTCGCATCACTGGAGTGCCCCTTTCATCTCTCTCCCACCGGCGTCTTTATTTGTGGGATGCCGGAGTTGAGAGATTTGTCAAGATACCGATAGACTCCAAACATATCAGTTACTCCTGACTCATTAGCTCTCGGCACACAGTGTACACAGGATTAAAGCAGTAGAATACAGAATGACCCCTTATTACATTAGTAGCTGCAATATAATTAATCTTACCTACGTCTATCTTATGTTCGTATTCCGACCTCTGACACTCAACTTCAAGATTTCTCTAGGGCTAAACAGTTCCTGAGGAACTCCCTTCCCATCTCCCTTAGATTCTCACCCAGTCTTCATTACTTCAAAAAACCATTGAAAACTCACGTCTTTGGGAAAGCGTATCAATTAAACTGTTAATAGCTTTAAATGGTAGCGCAGTGTTTACACTAAGATTCTTTTTTTTCCTTGAGGGTAGGTAAGCCAAAAGATATCTTGGGAAAAATTAGTGTCTCTTTAATTCTGTAATAAGATTTAGCCCTGCAGGGTCCCTTGACAGCATGTCACAAAAATGAGACAGGTTTAAAAAATTTGCCCTGTTTCAGCAGGTTTTGCATGTGCCTAGTGTCCAAGCCATCTTGGAAGAAGCATAGGGAGAACACACAGCAGCAGCTCCTGGCCCTTGCCAAATCTAAGTGTATAATATTATTTTTTACTCTCCCCCAATAGCCCCAGTGACTGCATGAGGGCTGATTATTATTATTATTTATAAAGTGCCAACAAATTCCACAGCACTGTACAATGGGTACACAAAAGGTAAAGGTACAAAAGTAGGCTGCTAGAATAGTATTCTGTTTTTTTTGACAGTTGCAGGTGAGGAATCAAGGTGCCCCTATGGATAAGCCTCCACTGTCAGTAAATATAATATTGGGTAAAAAATATTGGGATGTGACAGTTTCCCTTTAAAGTGACTATCATGAAAACTATCAAATGATTTATCCAATGAAAATAATTAACACACTTAAAATGATGACCTCGGTGCTACCAGACCTTGGGCTGGCTAACCCTTATCCATGCAATATAAAAACAGTATGATCCAGGGTTACTTACCCAGCAGTTTTATTGGAACAGACAGACAAAAGAGGAAATGTTTCCACCTACACAGGGGCCTTTGTCAGGCTTGTGCAGGTGGAAACGTTACTTGTTTTGTCTGTTGTTCACAAGCAACCTTGAGTGCCTTGGTCATTCTGTTTTCAATATCATGAAAATGATGTCAGATTCCAACATTGAACTATTGACCTATTAATTGTGTCGGGACCGACAGGGTTATTCAAAGGGAGTGGATTTCAGAGCCGACTCATAACAAACTCTAAAACATGAAAAAAGGGAGACATACCGATATAAATATATATTATTATGTATAGTTGTTTATGTACCTTTAAGTCCATGCTAGCTCAGACTATGCAGAACTCCAATCTACTTTCTAGAGACACTAATTATATATTGGTCATTTTAAAGGGAACATTGCTTTTGGCCCGGAAGCCTGTTTTTGCATATTTCATTTTTATATGGTATTTTCAAAAAATATATAATTACATTTTAGATTTCTAAATCTTAACTCCGTCTCCTCTGTAAAACATCCCCATTCCAAATTACGTCCTTCTTGTTTGTTACCTGTGACTGATACTTGATGTGATAGCTCCCCTTGCAGCCAGTGGTGACTCAAGGAACAGTACAAGGGGGAGGAGCACAAAACACAAACAATTTTACTGTCAAAACTCATAATTTACACCACTAAATCCTATTGGTAGTGGTTGTGGGGAGCCTGGGGGGTGGGGGGATGATTGGGGCAGTGGTGGGTGCAGCAGGGGCTTTAGTGAAGTGGGGAATTTATGTGGGGTAGGGATAAAGGCTGTAGTGGATGCAGGGTAGGGGTAGGGTCTGTAGTGATTGCATGGGGTATAGGGCTGTAGTGTATAAATGGGGCTTTAGTGGGTAGAGGGGTTAGAGGCTATAGTGGGTACAGGGAATAACAAGGGCTGTAGTGGGTGTAGGGGAAAAAGGTGCTATAGTGGTGACAGGGGGCAATAGGGACTGTAGTAGGTGCATTGGGTAAACTCTATTACCATCCCCCTCAGTGGTTGGTAATAGAGATTTTACAGGGTAAAGGGGGTTGGGGGATAGGGGCTGTGGTAGGCGTTTGGAGTGCAGACTGCTCCTTCTGGCCGGCGCTGAGGAATGTATTAGGGCTTAAAATTGCAGGTCCTAAATGAGATGGTAATTACAAATTGTTTCCAATCCTTCCATTGGGTAGCAATATGTCAAATAATCTCTTAAATGTTTTTTGGGTTGTTTTTTTTTGTGGGAAATGTTAAGTTGATGTACATTGTCAAAGTATCTTGGGATCACTACTCCTAAATATTTAATGTGGTTATTAGACCACTAAATGGAACTTGTGAATGCTGCTTAGGTTGTGCACTAGGGCCTGAAGCTGAGGATTAAGATCAGTTTATGTGGTAGCCTAGGATGGAGCCAAAAAGTGTAATTTTGTGCATTAAAATAGGAAGGTATTTGTTAGAGTCAAATATAGATGTCTAATGGAAGAAAGAAAAGAATAGGGGGCAAAAGACATCTGTGTCAGACCCGTTGTTCCACAAGGACTGCGGGTGAGTTTAGGTCAGTAGTCATACAGGGTGGTTGAGGGTGACATACAGGATTTGGGCAAATTTGAAAAATTAGATATCGAATGATTCACAACATATGGAACCAGGAAACCTGGTCAAAGACCATAAGGGCATCTAGACTCATAAGAAGAGTGCCATGAGATACAGGTAGATTTATTGTTACTATCATTGCTGATATGACTACCTGAACAACTTTGATGGAATGTTTAATCCTAGTAACGCCTAATTACTGCAGTTATAATATACCTGAAAGACAGGTTTGTAATCTTTGGGCAATCATTTTGTAAAGACGTTTCAGATCTTGATTAAGTAATATGACAAAACAATAAGAAGTGAAAAAAACAGGTTTATAGAGAGCGCAAAAAAATATATCAGTAAAATAGTGGATTTTCTAAGCAGGTGCTTCAAATTATGATTATCCACAAGAAAAAGTTAATACAAAGCTGCCGGATACACTAAAAACCTTCCCAAGTTTTAAAACATCATGTGTGACATAAATTGAAATAAAAACAGTATCAGCGCTTAGTTAATATACCCCTATTTTTTGTATATGGGTCAACAACAAAAATATATTGAATAAATTAAATAAAGAGTCCCAGTTTCAATCTTCATGGGGTGTTTCCAAATGTCCGCAGGGATTTGATAGTTGTAACAGTAATTGATGTAAAAAGACTTTGTCTTTATATGTATCCAACCTTAAATCAAAAAGATACTGACATAGCGTGATACAGTTACAATACTTTATTTCCCATACGGTAATCCCCCCATAAGAGGAACTCTTACAATTAAAAGTGGTGAAACTTATTTCTAAGGTTCACAATAAAAACGTAGAAATGCAGAATATTGGTTGGTGAATATAAAGTTACCGCTCCGTGGGTGTTATTTCCAGACCGGTTCCTCTTATGGGGGGATTACCGTATGGGAAATAAAGTATTGTAACTGTATCACGCTGTGTTAGTATCTTTTTGATTTAAGGTTGGATACATATAAAGACAAAGTCTTTTTACACCAATTACTGTTACAACTATCAAATCCCTGCGGACATTTGAAAACACCCCATGAAGATTGAAACTGGGACTCTTTATTTAATTTATTTAATATATTTTTGTTGTTGACCCATATACAAAAAATAGGGGTATATTAACTAAGCGCTGATACTGTTTTTATTTCACAAAACGATAAGAGTTGACCCACTCTCGGTTTTAAACGGGCCATTGGGAGCAGTATAGTACTGGCTTGAGACAATTCATCCATTGGAGTCTGGTATATGTAGATTGCATTTAAGAGTGATTAATGGGACAGAAGCATGTGATGGTTTAACATTTTAAAGTATTGAGTGCTGAGGCCATCCATGCCAGGGGTCTTCCCAGAGCTGGTCAAAGAAATAGTCCAATTGATTGGCAAGAAATCTCTGATAGTCTGAAGATAAGCTTGCTAAATCATCGCCCTGACATTCTAATGATTTTTTACATGTCCAGGAGTCATGTAAAGGCTGTGTTGAAAGTATGTAAGCTGCATTAATAATTCTGGTGCTTTGATAGTTTAATTACTGGTTACTTACTATCTGGTCAATTAGTAATGTTTACCTTCAGAGGTATGCTCCTGCAGATAATTAGACCTTTATGTTAGTGGCCTGACTTTAAGTGAATCACTTTTTTGAGAAATATATTTATATATGATATATAAAGGTATCATTGCATACTGCAATACTCTGGTATTTTGACACCTTATTTATATATATATATATTATTTATATATTGTAACGGATCACCTGGCACCCCGACTGGGTACCTCCGTTGAAAGATGCTCCTAGCGCTTCCAGAGGACTCCAAGCACTCCACCAGACACCATAAGCACCGCAGCCTGCAGCTATCTCCCTTCAGAACGAAGCAGGAACAAGCTCTTACAAGAGCTCAGTGATTATAGCAAGGGAATATGCCTAGCATAGCAATCCCTTGTAGCAGATTCCCCCAATAAGAGACAGGACTCAAGTTGAGGGTAATCTGCTACAAGGGATTGCTATGCTAGGCATATTCCCTTGCTATAATCACTGAGCTCTTGTAAGAGCTTGTTCCTGCTTCGTTCTGAAGGGAGATAGCTGCAGGCTGCGGTGCTTATGGTGTCTGGTGGAGTGCTTGGAGTCCTCTGGAAGCGCTAGGAGCATCTTTCAACGGAGGTATCCAGTCGGGGTGCCAGGTGATCCGTTACATTGGTGGCAAGCGGCGGGATGGCATCCTAGTGCGAGAAGAAGCAGCTCGGAGACACCGGTAACGTGTGGAGTTGTGCAGCGTCCTTATCTTCAGCAACATAATGGAACCAGCAGTGGCTACAGCAAGCATGGCGTATAGCTACTCCGTACTAGAGTTTGGCACGATGGTAGGGTTGCACCTGAAGTTTTACGGACCCAATCCAGAGGAGAAATACGTGCGGTTCGTGTGGGACATGGTGACCCGAAACCTACAACACAGAGCGTTGAGGGAAGGCCAGTGGGCACGTTGGGTAGAAAGTATGTTTTAACTGTATGTGTAATTGAGTTTCCTCTCAGGATAAGGGGAGGGAATATGTGGGATGTAACTGTGATGTGATTGGTTGTTTTATACCTCCCTGTGGGCGGTCCTGTATTTGCAAGACTGTAATAAAAACCAGGCTGGGTGTGCCAGCACCTCAGACCACTGCTTGACCCTCAACACGGAGCCTTGTCTCGCTCTTGGGGGGATTCACTGTATGCTGTTAGAGACTGATTGCCAGGAGTGTAAGCTGATTGTCTGCTTTTCCTGTTCGTCTGCTAGCAGCTATTTGGGAGGTTCCAGTTCGGGAGTTGGAGTGCTATTTTGTATCCAGTTTGTGAGTTTTGGTGTTCTGCAGTAGCTGTGCCTGGATCTCTGGAAAGGGGGCCGATCGCCTAAACGGTTTTTACCCCTTGTGTGCAAAACGGTCCATTACATATATAAATAATTTTAATTATTTATATTTATTTATATATAAACAACAGCTTGTAGGGTGTAGAGTGGTCATTTAACAGATTAAAGGTTAAAGATTTGAAGATCAAAGGACAATTGTCACATCAAAACAATTTTTTATAAAGTTATGATTTAGTGTTGAAAAGGAAATAGATTTTTATTTTAGAATAGTTATACGTAAAAAAAAAATAAAAAAGAGGAAAAACCCTTCCCGTCCTAGTATATGACAATATATTTCAGCCATCTACATGCAACTTTGATCAGACAGTTTTTGATAGCAGTTAGTCTCTATGGTCTTCCCTGCTTTTGTGTGGGGAGTGACGCAGGAAACATCATAGAGATGATTTGTTTTTCAAATCCTGTCTGCCCAAAAGTGCATGGTATATGATAAAAGTAGGGTTGAGGTTTTTTTTTATATATATATATATATATATATACCTATTTCCTTACAAAACATGATGAAATAATTATTATATTAAAAATAGTTTGAGCTGACTGTTGTTTTTAAGATATGTAACAGGGTTGATGTTCCAGGAGGGATAAGCCAAATGACAAATGATTTAGGTAAACTAGAAAAATGGTCAGAATTGTGGCAACTGACATTTAATGTGGATAAGTGCAAGATAATGCATCTTGGATGTAAAAACCCAAGGGCAGAGTACAGAATATTTGATAGAGTTCTAACCTCAACATATGAGGAAAGGGATTTAGGGGTGATTATTTCTGATGACTTAAAAGGTAGGCAGACAATGTAATAGAGCAGCAGGAAATGCTAGCAGAATGCTTGGTTGTATAGGGAGAGGTATTAGCAGTAGAAAGAGGGAAGTGCTCATGCCATTGTACAGAACACTGGTGAGTCCTCACTTGGAGTATTGTACGCAGTACTGGAGACCGTATCTTCAGAAGGATATTGATACCTTAGAGAGGGTTCAGAGAAGGGCTACTAAACTGGTTCATGGATTGCGGGATAAAACTTACCAGGAAAGGTTAAAGGATCTTACCATGTATAGCTTGGAGGAAAGACAAGACAGGGGGGATATGATAGAAACATTTAAATACATAAAGGGAATCAACACAGTAAAGGAGGAGACTATATTTAAAAAGAAGAAAAACTACCACAACAAGAGGACATAGTCTTAAATTAGAGGGACAAAGGTTTAAAAATAATATCAGGAAGTATTACTTTACTGAGAGGGTAGTGGATGCATGGAATCGCCTTCCAGCTGAAGTGGTAGAGGCTAACACAGTAAAGGAGTTTAAGCATGCGTGGGATAGGCATAAGGCTATCCTAACTATAAGATAAGGCCAGGGACTAATGAAAGTATTTAGAAAATTGGGCAGACTAGATGGGCCGAATGGTTCTTATCTGCCGTCACATTCTATGTTTCTATGTTTCTATGTTTAACACAAGATAATGACATGACAGTTTAAACATGCTTTATGATTTGTGCAGAGGTGCTGTCTGATGACAGAACCAAGGAAATTGTAGTACACATATATAGTATTATGCAGCTCAAATATATATTTATGAAAATAATCTAATCGTATTTAAAATGTATTCTAATTATTCTAAATATATTTAGAATCAAAAAGCCTATAAAATGATGAATTGATGTCAATTTCAGAGTTCACATCTGTGAATGATTCTGATCTTTTACTTCATAAATCATCATGTTACGTATGTCTAAAAACTTGCTTTTTATGAATTTTCAAAGCTTTAGTAAATGTTTAATTCATCAAATAATTGTGAGCGCAATTTATAATAATTTAGTAATTAACGTTTGAGCATCCCATCTCGTATTCGAGGCCACAAAGTCGCCACCTAATGTTCTAACTGAGATTGCAAGTAATTGCACCTTGTTTTAAGAGATATCGAAGCTGAAAGACAAAGTGTTCCTGTTAGAAAGAACATTTGCAATTTTCACAAACATTTATAGTAGACAAAGATTCCCAAACTGTTGGAACTTTTAGAGATAAAAAGTATTTTTAAATCCTTTTTCAGTTGATGAATACAGAGGGAGGAATCACAGGCAAGGTTTTGTAATATTAGAATTGCATCCTTTAGATTTAAGAAATATGTGTTTTTGAAGTCTGGAGCATAAAATTACATTTAGAATTCCACCTCTATCCGGAAAGTGAGTGCCTCTATTTTTGCTCCCAGTCAATCATGTTGTAAACTCTGCTCATTGCAACTGTCAGCCAACTTAGAGTGGCATGGCACACCCTTAACGATCTGGCCCTCTCTCCGGTTTGGAAACTTACCCGGCACTGCGATCGCATTCGGGGGACATGCCTGACAATCCAGGAAATCCTCCTGCAGCCAATCCATCCAATCTGAGTCATGTGATTGTGGTGACATTGTGGTATGAATATAGATATACACAGTGCATATATAATTATAATTTCATTCTAAGTGTATTTTATTCCAAAATATAGTTTGTTCCAAATACTATATAATATAATTTTTGTTTTGGTTCCGAACTTTTGCCTCCGTCATTAACGGGTTAATGTACATTTAAAAGAAAACAGAGAATCACATGAACAAAACGTTAACGCTTAATATGTGAATTTCAATGGTTTATTAAATAGCGCAATTTGCAGAAAAGTGTCTGTACTTTTTTAAATTTTGTAAATCCTCTCTCCCCCCCAAAAAAAAGTCTGACAAATTAGGAAATGTATGTCCCAGTGCTGCCATAAAATTATCAAACCTATCACTAACCCAAACCCTACTATTATCCATAACCCCAACTCTAAACCAACAAAAAATATATGTAATATAAAAGATTCATAACATGAAAACATGCATTGGAGAACAATAATGCCATCAAGTGGCTTTAGAGATCATGGTAACACGTTTGGAAGGTGGAGTGGATTATAAAAAATTCCAT